AATCAAGGACGCACGATAAGAATTTAAGAATGTGAAGTTTTCCTAAAGGTTCTGCAGCCTCTCGAGGATAAATACAGACGTCTCCGTACCGATCCGCGAGACTCTACTAAACCTGTTTATGACTCGTGAGACCTAGTAACCTAGGCTCTGATACCAACTTGTCACGACCCAATTCCCATACCCGGTCGTGATGGCGCCTCTCGTGAAGACAAGGCCAGCCAACTTACCCAAATCATTTCTTTAACAGTTACTAAACATAAGTGAATAGAATAATATAACTTAACGGCCATAATAATCAGTATTTTCAACCCCACATAATCCGACCGGGGTGTCACAAGTCACGAGCATCTAAGAAGTAGGAATACAACTACAGGGTCATATATATATAAAATTAAATCTGGAATCCAAAAGATGAAGTCCGGTGCCGCGAACGCTGGCGGTCACCTTGCTCAGCTACATTAGTATTACCTTCAGTCCGCTAATCACCCGCTACCGGGTGAACAATACCTGCAACTGCACGCCAGGTGCAGGGAGTAAAGTGAGTACTTCCAACTCAGTGGTAATAAGAGTAAATAATAACTGAGAGACAAGAAATTACGTAAGAGCAGTCCATCATGCTATATAGGACAGTACAACCCTTTGAGAAAACAGTAAAACCGTGAAAAATCCTTTAAAAAATATCTGGCTTAGTTTAAAAACCTCTTTTGAAAATATCCTTTTCCAACAGTCAAGCAAATGAATGCGTAATCAGATAGTGCAAGTCCGCACATAAGTCAGCCCCTCGGGCACAGCACTCCATCAACAAATAACACCAGGGTATCTGGTAAACAGTGCAAGAAGTAGCATGGGTGCCAATGATATGAGAGTGCTGAATGTCATGACACGTAGTACAAACAGGAACCAATGCATGAATGCAATGCAATGCACATGACCGCTGCGGCGCGCAGCCCGATCCATTTGGGTACCCGCGCTCACTGTGGGGGTTCAGACTCCGGAGGGGCTCCTACAGCCCAAGCGCAATATCATCATAGTATCGCTGCGGCGTGCAACCCGATCCATCCTCAGTCCAGAACATGCAAATGAGCCACTCGGGCAATGTCAAGTAATAGCTTTTAACTCAAAACATCAGAAAAATGCAATTTAAGTCTTTAAACTTTAACAATATGACTGCACATTTCAAACAGGGTTTAACTCAGGACTGAAATCATTTAATATGCTAAGTGTCATGAAAACAACGATAATAATCCCTAAAGGATTCAAATAATTGGCACGAAGCCCAAAACATGGCAATCAGCCCAAATCACGATAGCATCAAGCAGGTTTTAGTCAATTACGCAGTAAAATCAACAACCGGGACGGACCAAGTCACCATCCCCAACGGTGCTCTACCCCACGCTCATACCTGGCATGTAAGTCACCACAATACAACACTATGATGTGCGAATCCGGGGTTTCAAACCCTCAGGATAGCACTTACAAGTATTACTCACCTCGAACCGGTGAAATCCCTAGCTCGTGACGCCTTTGCCCCTCGAATCGGCCTCCATGCGCGTCGAATCTAACCAAAATCAGAGCGAATACATCACAATATTGCTAAGGGAACTAATACCAATCGAAANTAAAAGTAATCAAATAGCAGTGTGTAGCAAGAACTAACAGGTTCTCTCCTAAGTAACGTCACAACTGGCAACTTCATTTCAGGGCAATTAAAAATCTAAATCATAGGAATTCTGTATAAAACAGGCGCAAATAGTGACGAGGTCTTACAGCCCGATCTAACATAAAGTAAATTGTGCACTGCCGAGGGTCGAGCGGCACGAACCATAGATGCATCTATTACCCCGCTCGCGAATCAACCATGCGACGCGGTCACATGTATTTAAACATATCAACAGACAGACAATGACATATAACTGGAGAGAAATTACTCAATACATTATCATCTTCCCTTTTAAACACCAAGAATGGTCATGTTCCTCTTAATTAATCTCATTTATCATAATCACCATGGTTAAACAATCTAAAGTAAGTATAGAGTTGCAACGATACCACATAAAGCATGCTTTTGGGTCCTAAACTACCCGGACTTAGCACAATGGTAGCTACGCACGGACTCTCGTCACCTAGTGCGTACGTAGCCCCCGCATTTAATAACAAATTATTAGATTACATCACCTATGGGGACAATTTCCTCTTACAAGGTTAGATAGGAGACTCACCTCGCTCCAATGTGCACTTCCAATACCAAGAATGAGCCCCAACCCTCAAATTGGAGCCGAACGGTTCGAAACTAGATAAACGAGGTAGGAACTAGTCAATATAAGCTTACAAGATCATATTCTAACTATTTAAGAAATTTCCCACCCTTAAACACAATTTTCCTAAAATCCGACCCCGGGCCCACATGCCCGGATTCCTAAATTTTTCAAGGGAAGTTGTTCTTCATAACCCAAGGATCAATAATATATGATTTGTAATTCATTTCATAACAAATTTCGTGGTCAAATTCAACTCTTGTCAAAACCCTAGGTTTTTGCTCTGACCCCATGATTTCACCTTAATACTAGTGTTTAATCTACCTAAGACAAGTATTAAACTAGAAATATGTAGAACAAACTTACCTCAAGATGCTAGGTGAAGGTCTTCTCCCAAAAGCTCTAAAATCGCCCAATGGAGGAGTGAAATACGGCAAAAATGGACTTAGAAGCCATAATAATTGAACTCACTGCTTCAGCGATTTCCGCATCTGCGGTCAGGGGACCGCATCTGCGAGGAAATGGCCGCATCTGCAATCGTTGGCCAAAAGGGCTGGGGCAACTTCTGCGGCCTTGGAGCTGCTTCTGCGGTTCGAGAGCCGCTTCTGCAGTTTGGCCTGGCCTTCCCTGGGCCGCATCTGCGATAGATGGACCGCATCTGCGGTCTCGCACCTGCGGTCCACCAACCGCAGGTGCGGTTATGACAGAAGCAGTAGCTTTAGCTCTTCTCAAAATTTTCCACTTCACTCGAGCCTCGTCTGATTGACGCTTGGGGCTCCCGGGCCCCGCCCGAACATACCGACAAGTCTGAAATCACGAAATGGACCTAGTCAGACCTTCGGAACGCCCGAAACAACGCTAAATCTAAGAATCACCCCCTTAAACCAATTGAATCAAACTTATGAACTTCAAGTTCTTAATTTTCCTCTAACGGGCCAAAACGTCCTTAAACTACGCGGATTGACACCAAATTTTGCGGGCAAGTCTTAAATGTTATATTGGACCTGTACTGGGCTTCGGAACCAACATATGAGCCCGATACCAACATGATCAATCATTAATTAGTTTCTTTAAATCCATAGAATTTCAGTTTAATAATTTCTAATAAAAATTTATTTACTCGGGCAAGGGACCTCGGAATTCTATTCCGGGCGTACGCCCAGGTGCCATATTTTCCTGCGGACCCTCCGGAACCGTCAAAACACGAATCTGAGCCCGTTTGCTCAAAATGTTGACCAAAGTCAAATTTAGCCTTTTAAGAAAATCCTAAGGAGTCAAATGTGCATATTTCAATCCAAACTCTTCCAAATCTCGAACCAACCATCCCCGCAGGTCATAAATTAGTTAAAGCAAGCACAGAGAGTTTATTGGGGGGAACGGGGTTCGAAAAAGGCAAACGACCGGTCGGGTCGTTACATTCAAACTTCAGGACATCGTGTCCTAAAGTTAGAAAATTATGTCCTAAAGTTCGAATTTTATGCCGTGAATTTTAAATTAGTAGTTCAAAATTTTAGGATACTTAGTCTTAAATTTCAAATTAGCAGCTCAAAAATTCAGGACACTAAGTCTTGAATTTCAAAATTCAGGATACTTAGGCCATCTCCAACCTTAGCCCATTTTTCTATAATGGGGCAACTTTTGGGGTAATTAAGCTCCAACCCTCCTCTATTTTTTCCCCCAAAATGGGGGATGAATAGTGTTCCCTCAAATATGGGGGTACACTATTCATCTCCTCCATTACTATTCATGTATATTTTATTATTATTTTATTATTTAATCTTTTGATTTATCTCTTTATATATACATAATTATGTTTATGTAATATCTTTATATTAATTTTACATCTTAACTTTGGCGTATAATTTTGATAAATTAATTTTCGTGCATTAATTATTTTTATGTAAAATTGTAAGTTAATTTTATTATAAGTTATAATTGTACAAAAAATATATAATCATCTCAAAAAATGAATGGTGCAAATATAAAATATTAGATGTTGCTAAAATTGAAAGGTGCGAATATAAAATATTAAATGTTGCTAAAATTGAAAAGTAAAAATTGAAAATACATTAAGTGAAAATACATTAAAATTGGAAATACATGACAATTGAAAATACATTAAATTAAAATACATAAAAATTGGAACTACGGTAAATAGCATAATAACTTAGCATGGAAATATGTCGTTTCCAGATACACCAAAATCATTATAGTATTGAGTGAATGGGGGCTGAGGATTGTTGTGGTTGTGACTGTGGATATTTTTGACTACTTTTATACATTATTCGTTGTTGTTCTTGTCGCACAAATTCACGACGAGTCGGATCGACAATAGAATCCACATCCATCATTAAAACTTTATTTTCTTCTTTCATTTTTTTTACTCTTAGTTTTTCTTTTTGAACAGTCAAAACTTCTTTTTTATGTAATATTTCAAATGAATTTTATCGTTATGTAATATGTATTTAATTAATCTTGTATCGCAATGATTTTACTTTTATTTGAATTATTAGTTAATCTATAATAATTGCTTACAAATTATATTATTTAAAATTTTATAGAATTATTTTAATGGAAATTATAAATTAATGAAAATAAAAGATGAGTTTGAGCCTAAACTCAAAGATAGTGGACTACTTTGGACCTTTTCTCCACATGAAATCATGAGTTAATAATTAAAAAAACCATAATGACTTATTTGCCCTCCTTTTTTATTTATTATTCCTATTATGCCCTTGTTATTTTAGCTCTTTTATTTGGAACCCTAATGTCTGCTTCTGCATATTCATCTCTGTCACTGACTTACACCTCCGCTCCCAAAAACACTTTGCTAAGGTTTTAATTTCTCAAAACCCTAAAGACTGAATCTTTTTTCTTCATATCCAAATGGGTTTTTGTTATTTTTCATTTTTACATGCTATTTAATACCCTTTTGTTTTTGCCTTTTTTTTTTTTAGACAGGTGAAGAGATAAGCAAAGATGTATCTCCAGTTTTATATTAACGAAAATGGTGACAAAGTACCACTAAGGTATGAATTCTTGAAAATTTCGTCTTTTTTAAGCATCTTATTCAGCATATGATTTCCCTTTTCCTTTATGATTTTGACTGTGTTATAGGAAGTGAATAGTGAATTATGCAAATGTTTATATTTTTCCTACTTATGTAATTGTGGGTATGTTTTTTTTTTTGGGTTTA